ATCTATCTATCTATCTATCTATCTATCTATCTATCTATCTATCTATCTATCTATCTATCTATCTATCTATCATCTATCTATCTATCTATCTATCTATCTATCTATCTATCTATCTATCTATCATCTATCTATCTATCTATCTATCTATCTATCTATCTATCTATCTATCTATCTATCTATCTAATCTATCTATCTATCTAATCTATCTATCTATCTATCTATCTATCTATCTATCTTTCCATCTATCTATCTATCTATCTATCTATCTATCTATCTATCTATCTATCTATCTATCTATCTATCTATCATCTATCTATCATCTATCTATCTATCTATCTATCTATCTATCTATCTATCTATCTATCTATCTATCTATCTATCTATCTATCTATCTATCTATCTATCTATCTATCTATCATCTATCTATCTATCTATCTATCTATCTATCTATCATCTATCTATCTATCTATCTATCTATCCATCTATCTATCTATCATCTATCTATCTATCTATCATCTATCTATCTATCTATCATCTATCTATCTATCTATCATCTATCTATCTATCTATCATCTATCTATCTATCTATCTATCTATCTATCTATCTATCATCTATCTATCTATCTATCTATCTATCTATCTATCTATCTATCTATCATCTATCTATCTATCTATCTAATCTATCTATCTATCTATCTATCTATCTATCATCTATCTATCTATCTATCTATCTATCTATCTATCTATCTATCTATCTATCTATCTATCTATCTATCTATCTATCTATCTATCTATCTATCTATCTATCTATCTATCTATCCATCTATCTATCTATCTATCTATCTATCTATCTATCTATCTATGTATATATCTATCTATCATCTATCTATCTATCTATCTATCTATCTATCTATCTATCATCTATCTATCTATCTATCTATCTATCTATCATCTATCTATCTATCTATCCATCTATCTATCTATCTATCTATCTATCTATCTATCTTTCCATCTATCTATCTATCTATCTATCTATCTATCTATCTATCTATCTATCTATCTATCTATCTATCTATCTATCTATCTATCTATCCATCTATCTATCTATCTATCTATCTATCTATCTATCTATCTATCTATCTATCTATCTATCTATCTATCTATCTATCTATCTATCCATCCATCCATCTATCTATCTATCCATCCATCCATCCATCACTGCACCACCTCTCCCTGATTAAGGGGTGGAGCAGGTGCTGCCCACAGTCATTTCAAGCAGAACAGTTTGTGTGCAGATCTTTTGTTTGGGCTCTGTGGCACCATGAGCCTTTCTTCACTGCGAGCTGTGTGAGGGCCAGAGAGATGATGTACCCACTGACATCAAGGTGATTACTGTAAGATGTAAATTATACAACCAGTTCAAAAGGCAGTACAAATACAACTCTCCAGAAACAGTGGTGATAGTTGCATGTTTTTTTTTGTATCATGTTATATTTTTGCTTTAATCAGAAGTTCTACAGCGAAGGAAAATAGTATTAAAAATGAGTGACACCAAAACATCAGGGGTCAAAGCTATTATAATAACCACTGTACACTCGAACAACCCCATAGGATGAGCCTCTAAATACTCTTCATGATGATTTAATTAGCAGTCTAAATTAGTTTCTCAATCCGCCAGCTGCCCTGATAGATACAACAGGATGTGCATACAAAGTGTATGGCAGGGAAACCCTCAGTATGCTAATATTAGCTTTGAGCATCTATCAGTGACAAATCTTGCCCAGCATTCCTTCATGCTGCACATATTCCCCACCATAATTCTGAGCTAATGTCACATAGTCTGGGGAAATGGGGGAGATATTGCTGTCTTAGTCAAATCTTGAGTATAATGTTGTGCAAAGTCTCAGGAAATATCATTTAAAATGTTAGCTCCCAGAATAGCTAGCTCTAATCGATAAAGTTACGCGAGGTGTTTCTCAATGCCAAGGAACCTCTCTTTGATGACTTGGTCCCGCCCCGGTTGTGTAGGAGACATGTCATCAGGAACCACCATGTTCAAACGATCATGTTCAAACGAGGCGTCTGTTCTCCATTTGTTAGCCGTTTAGCTAGCTGATCAAGGATTCACGGGAAGTGCCTTGTAGCCTGGCCGTGGTCAGATCACAGCACGGTATTTTCAAATTTCCAGTTTAAATGTCAGTCAACTAATTGTAGCTATCAGGCTGATATCAGAAACAAAAATGACGTTCGTTGTGCCACGGTTAATTAATTAGAAAAAAGGTTTCTTCTAGTAGGCCGGGATATTAGTAAGAGAAATTAGTATAAATCTCTTTTACCTGCCAACAGTTTCTGATATCTTAAATGTTTTGTAGATCAAAAGCAGTGATCTATGGTTGGCTAGTTGCTTTGGTAGTTGCAGCTTCGGTGGCTAGCGGGTAGTAACTCACTGACATTTAATTTAAGCAAATACAAACATAAAAGGCTTGTTATACAACTATATTGAAACTTAAAATATAACTTTACCTCCTGTGTCATGTGACGGGACCACTGCAGGAGCCACGGTCATGTGGTCTAAATCTGTTCCATTTGTTTGTTTCCTTTGACCAAGGAAGAACAGTGTCCTCGTAAGCCTTGCTAGGCCAGGCACCTTGACATTGAGAGCCACCCACAGACATTTTTTATGATTAGACGAGGCAGCCATCTTGAAGTTGATTGATGCCAAAAGTTTTTCAGAGGAAGTTTCAGTTGTAATAAAGAGTTTCTAAAACTTTCATTCAAAATGTGTCCACTGGGTCATGTGATAGTTTGCTAACAAATAAGCGCTTGCTAGCATGCATGTCTCTCTTTCACACACACAGACACACACACACACACACACACACACACACACACACACACACACACACACACACACACACAATGGCAGGGCTAAAATCACCTGCAGGTCCGGAGAGGAAGGTGATAATTTCCTCATTTTCTGTCTGTGAGCCTGAAACAGGAAAGCTAAAAAAATCTGACTTGGTTTTAGTCCAAGGTGTTTCCCAGCCATCAAGCCTGCTTAAAACACATCCAACCATCCTGATCACAGAGCCTTCGTCTGACTCTGGGTGCCTACTGGAGCGTTAACACAGCCAGTTCCTTCAACCTACCCCAATGTGTCACTTCTAGGCCATCAAGGTCAACTGTCCACTCACATTTGATCTCGTACATCCAAATACATGCCCACACAAAACTAATACATCCTGTTTTAGGCCATTTCCCGTCATACTCTTCAAATAACCCACTATAGGCAAGCATAGCCTGCTCTTTTAGACAGGTCAATGATTTCAAAATACAGATTTTGGGAGTTTTAGTGAATCCCCAATTAAAAAGCTGCCTACATCCCAAATGTTTTTACTGTTTCTGATGATTCTCTGTGCTAATAAAGGTAACAAAGAGATAAAAAAGAGAGAAATACAACAGGAGAGACTCAGATGTAGTGAATTCATTATGAACATGTTTGCCTGGGAGAATCTGTGCTGGGGGCACGTATCACAATGGATGAAGCCTAGACATGAAAATGTCTATAATTAAGATAATAGTGACTTTGCTTTGGGGATTAAGAAAAAAAAGCTGCTGTTAAGCACTTGTTTTAAAGTAATCGACCAAATCCTAAAGGAGGAAAGAAAGTGGATGCTACAGCTTCAGCAGAGAGAGCAGTTGTAACGTGGTGGACAGTTATTACATCATTCAGCTTCAAATAAACCAGTTAAAATAATCTAAACCAAATCTAAACTTAGGCTGCTACATATAAATATTCACAATTAAATCTAAATATGTCAACATATAGCTAGTTTTTATTATAATGTCAACTCAATGTGTAGAAATAGGCTACATGAAATTTCAGATTGTCATAAACTGAAACAAATAAATAAAAAGGGGAGAAGAGTTCCTCTGGTAGGGTTTGGTGGCCCTGGATCATTTATTAATGTGGATGGGTGGGAACGTTGATCCTTTTTACATTATTAAATAAATGTAGTGAGAAGGTGACTTTAAAAAATGCCAGTCCCTTTGTTATTGTTATGCGGTGTGATAAATGTGAATTTAAAATGTTAAGTTTATGTACCTTGGTGCCCATACTTCAGAGAAAACTAGACTGTCTCAGGCAGGAAATATTTGGTCAGAGAAACTTGTGTTTCTATAAAAAAATTAGTTTGTTATTTTCAGGCAAACGGCAAACATAAAACTGTAATAATCCGTTATTTCCACTTGGACTTGAACAAAACAGGCTTTTAGTGTGTGTGTGTGTGTGTGTGTGTGTGTGTGTGTGTGTGTGTGTGTGTGTGTGTGTGTGTGTGTGTGTGTGTGTGTGTGTGTGTGTGTGTGTGTGTGTGTGTGTGTGTGTCTGTGTGTGTGAAAGAGAGAGCGAGACAGCCATGTTCTCCCAGCCTCCTCGAGCCAGTAACCATGACAACGGGATGGCTGGGAGACACGGTTCAAGCTCAATGAGGCCGGTATCTTGTTCTCCTCTAAAATAGAGCTTGGTCGCGTTTCAAGCGCGGCTTGCCCTCCTAAAAGCGGAGAGGAAACGCTTTTTCCTCTTCCTCCTCTCGGGGGACTGAGCGAGACCACACACACACACACACACACACACACACACACACACACACACACACACACACACACACACACACACACACACACCTCCACAATAACCCCCACGGCCCAAACGGTGCGTCTCTCCCGGACTAGCTTGATGAACACCGCTGTCTGACCGGTGTGTGTGTGTGTGTGTGTGTGTGTGTGTGTGTGTGTGTGTGTGTGTGTGTGTGTGTGTGTGTGTGTGTGTGTGTGGTCACATATTAAAGACAGGAAACCGGAGCCCTCGGGAAGATTTCTTGAGCTGTTTAAATGAATTCCGCTCCGTGTTTGATGCAGCCGGTTGAGTCGTTAGTGCCGACGCAGCCCTCCTAGCTTAAACACTTCTAACGTGTCTGCTGAATTACCGTCGCTCCACTCACCGGGAAAACGCGTCCTGTCACGGCTGGAGTCAGAGTTGCTCTGCGGTCCGGTCGTCTACCCCCACACCGGGGGAAAGCGCTGCCAGACGGACTCCTGTTCCTCTTGTCCTCCGCTCATCGTCCTTCTCCGCCGCGCCGCTCTCGCCGGTCTGCGCGTGCGGCAGCTACGCCGCCAACAGACCGCAGCTCGCGGTAGTAAAGGATGGAGAGTCTCGCGCTGGCTGACAGGGGCACGGGGGAGGTCCAGGCGGCGGAATGGGATACTTCTGAGGCTGGTGAGCGGCTGGATGGACGCACTCCCTGTCTCCTCCTCCTCCCCGTGGAGCCCCCGTGTGCCTGAGTGGCAGCTAAGAAAACGTAGATCTGCTCCTCGAACTCCTCCGGAGCATCGTCCCTCTCCGGTGGCTGGAGCAGAGTGAACGGGACGTGTCTGCAGGGCCTGCTGATATCAGACTGAAGATTATGCACCACCAGTTGTGTTTGCCTCGCCTCTGAGACCACTGATGATATTTTATATCCAGTCCTTGAAATCCACTCTGGTTCTGTTTGTGATGATTCCCAGACTGAGGACCCCTGAACCTGAGAGGGGGCCAGGGTGTCCTCAGAAGGAATGGTGGTTCCCAGAAAGAGAGAGATTTGGCGAAAATGTTGTTGGCTTAGCTGGAACAGAAAAAATGAGGCACAGCATACAGATGATTTACAGACAACAATCTGGTTCAGTCCAAGGTCTAAAGTGCTGCAGCTGTCAGGTCCTGGATGTTGCATTGGTCATGCTGAAGTAGGATTTAAACAGGAATTATGTGTCTGCAAAGGAAAACATGACCTGTGAAACTGTCAATAGAGCCTTGCTGACTCATGGATAGATCTAAAAATGAGTTTCCTGACATCAGCCTATGGGGCCTTTTTCGTCTTGACTTTTGCTCTGCACATTTTTGTCATTGCTTCTATATCTTCCATGCCTGCATTCCCCATCTTCCTCATACCAATGCTGATCTGTCAGATATAGATAGATGATAGACTATCACTCGCCAACTTGAACAACTGGAAATAAAATGTACTGAAACTCAGAGAAACTATTTACTGAATCTCTACCTCTTCCTGGAGTCAGCCCAATCCAAGATGGCCACGGCAGCCACAAGCAATAAACAGTAACACAAAAGTGGGCATAACTTTATTTTGCAGGTACAGAGCTGAAAAGGTATGGGGTAGTATTAAACAGCTGCATGGTGACACAGCTGGTTGCACAGTTGCCTCTGAGCAAGACGGTTGCAGGTTTGAATCCCAGCAGCAACCTTTCAACAAAGAGTTAGCATGTTCTCCTCATGCATAAGACCATGATTTGACCCTAGAGTGAGTGTATGCACCTGTGATGGACTGATGACACCTGTCTAGTGCCTTTAAAATGGTGACAAACTTTAGTTTGCATAAATGGTGAATTTGGAAAAACCAACATTTAAAGGAGAACAAGACAGTTTTGGGATGCTTTCAGCACCCCCTAGTGTCCATTTGTAGAACCAAAACCAAAACCTCGCAGTGCATTTGGCTTTTTAACAGCTGAAATGTCTCCCAGCCATCCGTAGTGTCTACAGGAGCGATTCATCACTAAATCAAACAAATCAGCTGTGTTCCTGATCTAAAACATAAAGGAAACATGCTGGAAGCAGACTGCACCACCAGGTATGTCAGCTCATTTTTTAAGTTTCAACAGAGCAACCCACCAGTCTGAAGTTGCAAGTGGAACATTCTGGCCACAGGGGGTGATAGGGCTGGGTGGCTTTTCATTAACCCTTAAAGGGTCATTTTAGCTCATGCTGACTCAATAAAATAAGCTGCAAAAAAAAAGCCTTGTTTTATATCTCTGAATTGTTGATAAGTTTTAGTAAAGCGGATTGGACACTTTAAGTCAATAAGCCAGATTCTCCTGCGGCAGCCGAAAGCTCTGATTGGTTGGAACAATGTGTCATGCGTTTCTATGGAGATGAGGGTCAGTCTGTCTGTGCAATAGTCCTGTTTTCATTAAACACATAAATCATGACATCTTTATTCCACAGATCATTCACTTGATTAATTATTGATCAACATCTGTTTCGAATAGCTTTAATCACAAATTAAGTACTTTGATTATTGAAAAGCTTCTTCTTCTCCTTCTGGCTCTTCTCCTGGAATGTAAACAGTCTGAGGAACACCCGACCTTGGCGTTTTCTACACGGGTGTTACTGTGCACAGGGGCAGCTGTGTGGAGCTGAAAATAATGAACTTCATAACCTTACATATGAAAAAGCTGCAAAGCCTGGCTTTAAAGTGACAATGTGTAGTTTTTACCATTAATCTCTGGAAATCTTCATTGAAATGTAGTAAATTAATTAAAATATGCCCAGCTGTTGAAAAATGTTGGTGGTTTCATAACATATAACCATAAAAATTGGGTCTAAAGTACATGGGAGGGGGTCTAACGGTGTTTCTCAATATCAAGGTGCCTGGCCTTTCGAGGCAATGTCTTGCGAGGCCAGGCCCCTTGCTTATGAGGACACTGTCCATCCTTGGTCAAAGAAAACAGTTAAATGGAACAGACTTGCGTCATGTGACTGCGGCGGTCACGTAACGTCACGTGACACGGGAGATAACGTTATATTTTATACGTATTAGTGTCAATATAAAGATATAACGAGCTTTTTACTTTTGTAATTGTGTATATGTTTATTAAATTAAAAATATTTAAGCGAGTTACTACCCGTTAGCCACCGAAGCTGCAGCTACTAAGCAACTAACCAACAATTGACAACTTCTTTGGATCTAAAAATACATTTTAAATTAGTTGACTTACTTTTAAACTTGAAAATTTGCCCCCGAAGCAGCTGCCGGCTTCTGATCCGCCTTCCTTTTGAAAATACTGCAGTGCATTGTGGGTAAATTTTACCAAGGCTAGGCTAAAAGATACCTCCCATGTATCCTCGCTCAGCTAGCTAAACAGCTAACAAGCGGAGAACACACGCCTCGGTAGAACATGAACATTGGAACACGTCTTGGCAGCTCCCGATGACGTATCTCCTAGGCAACCAGGGCGGGGCCAAGACATCAAGGCATGGCTCCTTGTCATTGAAAAACACCGTAAGTTCCTGGGCGATGCCATATTGGACGCCATGTTTCTTTCAACAGAAGTCTGTGAGGACAGAATGCATTTAATGATTTGTAACAAATGGTTTCAAAACTTTCAGCATTAATTAACATTCTTTTACACATTTACCTCTTCATTCATTGTAAGTGATGAAAGGGAATCTGATGTTCTTGTTATTTTGCTGGAGGTTGTGATCCCAAGGATTTTTGACCCTATGGCCATCTGTTGGTAAGGTTTTACTTGATAATGCTTGCTTGTAATGATTTAGGCATCTTCTGCCCCCATCGCCAGGGAAAATACACACTGTCACTTTAATATTATAAACAAATAAGCAATAAACTTTGAAATAAAACACATCTGGTAGGAACTTTGCAGCAGCCACAGAGTCGTGCTTTGACTTGAGCGTGCCACTATGCCGGAGTTCAGTCAGCTCCATCTGGAGGTAGTACGGTGCGCTGTCCATGTCAGCCGCAAATACATTACTGAGCAGTTAAAATTGTTATTTCTGGGCTTCAAAGTTGTCAAATCTCTATAAACCTGGCACTGATAAACAACAATTTTGTTGGTTTGTCTGAGACTGAATCTGCGGTCTCCAGGTTTGCAGCTGTACCCCCCCGTATGCTAGCATGGACGCTAATGACTATCAACAGGAAAGGAGAGGAAGCTTCTTGGACTAACGCAGCAAAGCATTCTGGGATTTGAAGTGTTAATGGCATATGCGCTGGCAAGCCATTTCTAATACAAAATTGATATGCGGTCTCACGGGCCAAATAAAAATACACCACGGGCCAGATTTGGACCGAGGGCCTTAGATTGACACCTGCACACTAAGGTGTACCAGCCCCACCGCACCTCGTACAATTTTAAAAGTGGAAGCTTTTTGGCTTCCATTTCTGGTTAAATTTCGGAAACATTTGGTTGGATTTAAAACTTTATGTGTGTCTTTAAAACCACAAAGGGCTCCTCTGTAAGGGAGTCTGGGGCAAATGTGTTTTCTGTCTGAAGCAGTAAGTGATCTGAGATTATAAACGGTTAACATTTGGTGCTGAATTTATTGTTTCTCTGAAGGCGATGCCAGTGCAAAGGAGAAAGACGCGTCACTAACCGAAATAATGGAAGAGTAGTCAGTCGTGTGATAAAAAACATGACAAACAATGCTCATATAGACATGAAACGTGTTTCCCTTTGTCAATGTCCGTGTGTGTGTGTGTGTGTGTGTGTGTGTAGACATGACACGGTCTGAGATCTCTATAATTATGCTGTCAAAAGCCGTCACATTTTGAGTTCCCTCTATTGACAAAGCAAATGTTTGCTTCACTGTGATGGAATAATTCCCTCAGCCGTGGCATCTTCCCCGTATAGAACCAAACCCAGACACTCTTCACATCAAATGTCCTCTGAGGCAGCTGAAAGTCAGGGAAAGCGCGGCAGCAAAACGTGACTCTGCAGATTTCCTGTAAATAAATAGCGTTCTTTTATGCTGAACAAATATTTCTTGTTTCAAAAGTGCAACATTTCCACATTTCACTGAGACTGAAATAAAAATATCCGCCTGCGGCGATCTCCAACGATCGATAGCAGCATCCAAAGAAAGCAGGAGAAGAGGAGAACGACTAGATGAAGAAGAAAAGGTGAGGGGTAAAGAAACAGAGTGAAGAACAAAAGAGCCAGCTGTGTTTGAAGCCAAGGGGAGGAGAAGGTTAGAAGGCGAGGTCTGCTCTGCAAGGCAGGTATGGGGGGTTATCCGAGGAGAAGGATGAGGGCAGAGAGGAGGAGGGGGTGTGCAGAGGGCTGAAGATGACAAAGAGAGTTCAGATTGTGCACAGATTGACCAGAAGAGGAGAAAGAGTAAAAGGGAAACCCACTGAAGATGCAATGTCAATCCTAATTACTAATTCATTAACCTGCCCTGCTCCCTTCCCCCTTTTAGTCACACACACACACACACACACACACACACACACACACACACACACACACACACACACACACACACACACACTGAGTCCCATGAGAGGCAGAGAGGAATGGATAGATGGAGAAATGAAGAGGTGTGTCTGCAGCTAAGTGACATCTGCCGGGCCGTGTGATAGAGGCAGCGTGTTGGGGACGCTGCTGGTCCCTAATGTGACGATCACTGGGAGGAGGAGGAGGGTACTGGTGAGCAGAAAAGCTAACAGCTTGTGTTTTGGTTGGCTGGGGAGGGTGGTCTCCTGTAATGGTGCACATAAGTGTATTAATGTGCACAGCTGTGTTGGCAGAATTTGTATGTGCTTCATCATGCATGCACTTATTTATATATCAGTGTGTGTGTGTGTGTGTGTGTGTGTGTGTGTGTGTGTGTGTGTGTGTGTGTGTGTGTGTGTGTGTGTGTGTGTGTGTGTGTGTGTGTGTGTGCATGCGTGCATGCATGTGTGTGTGTGTTTAATTATGAAATGGAAGAAGATTTGTGAAGGTGAGACATGAATCAAGATGCTGATGTTCTGTTGAAATAATAACACAGTGAAGCACAATCACAGCAGGGAGGGGAGTGTCAGACAGACTGATATTGTGGGTTATCGGGGTGTGTGTGTGTGTGTGTGTGTGTGTGCGTGTGGCATCCACATTATAGATCTCCTGCAGCACTCCTTTATACACATCTACACAATCTCACTC